GTCAAGCAGAGGGAGGGGTAGTAAGGAAGGGGTCAAGCAGAGTAAGGGGTAGTAGAAGAGGGGTCAGACAAGAGTAGTAGTAGGGGAGGGGGCAGACAAGGGAAGGGGTAGGAGGAAAGGGGTCAGACATTAATAGGGGAAGTAGGGGAGGGGTGTCAGACAGGGAAAGGGGGAAGTACGAGAGGGGGTCAGACAGGGGGACGGGTAGTAATGGAGGAGGCAGGCAGGTTTAGGGGTAGTTGGGGAGGGATCATGCAGGGGGAACGGTAGTAGAGGGGAGGGAAAGTAAGGAAGAGGGGAAGTAAGGGAGGGGGAAGGCAGGGAGAGGAGAAGTAAGGGAAGGGGAAGGCAGGGGGAGGGGAAGTAAGGGACGGTGCAGACAGGGGAGGGGAAGTAAGGGAACGAGAAAATATTAGTACACACACACACACACACACACACACACATCGGCCCTTTTCTCTGGATCCAGGAGCTGTTTTCTCGTGGGGAAAATTTTAACATGGTGTTGCAGCTAGCCGCCTGCAGCAACAATCTGGTTGATCAGGCAAACACCAGCCAAACCTGGCCAGGCAGTGGCAATAGGAAAACTCTCAAAATCCATCACAGGTACGGCTTAGGGACGTGTTTCCATAAGACACCTGTTGTCCATGTTCACCCATCAGTATAATGGGTACCTGGATGTTAGTGGACTGGTGTGGGTCGCATCCTGGGACAAAACTGACCTAATTTGCATGTAATGCTCAGCATAACAAGCGGCTTTCTATATAGTAGTATATCATTGATGTCATCTAGGACTGTATACTTTGTACATGTACTTGTAGAAATAATTACTATTACAGGTCTTCTGACCGTCGCATGTAGGCCTATTAAGTAGTCGTAAGATTTACCGTGTAGGCAGTGTTGTGCACAAACATTGCAGTCAGGTTTATAAAGCTTGGCAAATTTGTGTTTCACTGTACACAAATAACCGATACGTAGGAGAACGTAGCCAGAATGTTCCCTTGAGCTAATCTGCCTGGACTTCCTACTCACATCTGCAACATTGCAAGCTCCTGTTGTGTTGATTGCATCTTGCATCCCTTGTTCGCGATTATTACATAGTAACATGTGTGTAAATTACCCACTATGATAACCCCCAAAAACATCTGACACAGTGATTTATTTACTTCGGTGTCCCGGCAGCTAAGATCAAACTTTCCAGTGACTGCTGTTTAAAGTACAGTGACTCAGGAGGACGCGGATGATGATCAACTTTCAAAATATCACATCTGTTTCCAAATCGGCAAAAATGTCTTGAAGCGTCGCTAATCACCGTCACACACACCACACAACATAATCACCGTCACACACACCACACAACATAATCACCGTCACACACACCACACAGCATAATCACCGTCACACACCACACAACATAATCACCGTCAACACCACCACACAGCATAATCACCGTCACACACCACACAACATAATCACCGTCACACACACCACACAGCATAATCACCGTCACACACACCACACAGCATAATCACCGTCACACACCACACAACATAATCACCGTCACACACACCACACAGCATAATCACCGTCACACACACCACACAGCATAATCACCGTCACACACCACACAACATAATCACCGTCACACACACCACACAGCATAATCACCGTCACACACCACACAACATAATCACCGTCACACACACCACACAGCATAATCACCGTCACACACAACATAATCACCGTCCACACACACCACACAGCATAATCACCGTCACACACCACACAACATAATCACCGTCACACACACCACACAGCATAATCACCGTCACACACACCACACAACATAATCACCGTCACACACACCACACAGCATAATCACCGTCACACACACCACACAACATAATCACCGTCACACACACCACACAACATAATCACCGTCACACACACCACACAACATAATCACCGTCACACACACCACACAGCATAATCACCGTCACACACACCACACAACATAATCACCGTCACACACACCACACAGCATAATCACCGTCACACACACCACACAGCATAATCACCGTCACACACACCACACAACATAATCACCGTCACACACACCACACAGCATAATCACCGTCACACACACCACACAGCATAATCACCGTCACACACACCACACAGCATAATCACCGTCACACACACACACAGCATAATCACCGTCACACACACCACACAACATAATCACCGTCACACACACCACAAAACATAATCACCGTCACACACACCACACAGCATGATCACCGTCACACACACCACACAGCATAATCACCGTCACACCACACAACATAATCACCGTCACCCACGCAACATAATCACCGTCACACCACACAACATAATCACCGTCACCCACACCAAACAACATAATCACCGTCACACCACACAACATAATCACCGTCACACACACCACACAGCATAATTACCGTCACACACCACACAACATAATCACCGTCACACACCACACAGCATAATTACCGTCACACACCACAACATAATCACAGTCACACACCACACAGCATAATTACCGTCACACACCATACAACATAATCACCGTCACACACACCACGCAAAATAATCACCGTCACACACCACACAATATAATCACGTCACACACACCACAAATAATCACCGTCACACACACCACACAGCATAATCACCGTCACACACACAGCATAATCACCGTCACACACACACACAGCATAATCACCGTCACACGCACCACACAGCATAATCACCGTCACACACACACCACACAGCATAATCACCGTCACACCACACAACATAATCACCGTCACACACCACACAGCATAATCACCGTCACACACACTGCACAACATGATCACCGTCACACACACCATACAACATAATCACCGTCACACACACCACATAACATAATCACCGTCACACACACCATACAACATAATCACCGTCACACACCACACAGCATAATCACCGTCACACACACCACACAACATAATCACCGTCACACACACCATACAACAATCACCGTCACACACCATACAACATAATCACCGTCACACACACCATACAACATAATGACCGTCACACACACCACACAACAATCACCGTCACACACAACATAATCACCGTCACACACACCACACAACATAATCACCGTCACACACACCACACAACATAATCACCGTCACACACACCACACAACATAATCACCGTCACTCACACCACACAACATAATCACCGTCACACACACCATACAACAATCACCGTCACTCACACCACACAACAATCACCGTCACACACACCATACAACAATCACCGTCACACCACACAACAATCACCGTCACACACACACACAACATAATCACCGTCACTCACACCACACAACATAATCACCGTCACACACACCACACAAACATAATCACCGTCACACACCACACAACATAATCACCGTCACTCACACCACACAACATAATCACCGTCACACACCATACAACAATCACCGTCACTCACACCACACAACAATCACCGTCACACACACCATACAACAATCACCGTCACACCACACAACAATCACCGTCACACACCACACAACATAATCACCGTCACTCACACCACACAACATAATCACCGTCACACACACCATACAACAATCACCGTCACACACACCATACAACAATCACCGTCACACACACCACACAACAATCACCGTCACACACACCACACAACAATCACCGTCACACACACCATACAACAATCACCGTCACACCACACAACAATCACCGTCACACACCACACAACATAATCACCGTCACTCACACCACACAACATAATCACCGTCACACACACCATACAACAATCACCGTCACACACCATACAACAATCACCGTCACACACACCATACAACAATCACCGTCACACACACCACACAACAATCACCGTCACACACCATACAACAATCACCCTCACACACACCACACAACATAATACTGGAAACTACATAATTTGAGAAATATACATGTTAGTCAAGTAGGCAAAGCATCACCTAACAACACAGGAGTCACGTGATCACATTGTCTTCATCCCAGAATGGCATTCTTCAGGTCACATTGTGTCACTCACACCTCACTCTCCACATATATACACAGTCTTTTCAGTCCTTGTGTGTTAGAAGTGATCAAGGTCCCAGGACCGAAACGTTTTCTGATAAATACGTCGTAGTGTTTGCTTTCTTGTCTTTCTAAACCAACTTGTCGGTATCTGTTACCAAGGTTTATACCAGTAGTAGTGTTGAACGTACTGGTTGACTACTTGACTGTAGTGATGTATTGTGCCTGGTATTGTTGAGTGGGGCGCCAGGGAGGATAGCTTAAACTGGTCCTCACCTCTCCCCCCACCCCCACCTGTCTGAGTGTTGATTGCCAACTGACTGTGAGGGAGACAGACAGACAGACACACGCCCACACACACATGCTGAGCAGGCCAAGTGTCTACTGACAAGCAGTGCCTCTGACAACCAGTATGGCTCTTGGAGCAGGGTCAGTGTGGACCTAGTAGCGACCAGTGAAGAGGCGGGGGCCAGGAGCTATGACTCGACCCCTGCAACCACAATTGAGTACAGTTAGGTGAGCGCACACACACACACACACACACACACAGGGAGAGCGTGCAGCAAAGTAGGAGGGATAATGTCATATGTAAGAGTCATCACTTACTCCCAAACACAAACATACAATCTTTCTCTCTCCCTGTCTCTTAGTGTGTGTGTGTGTTTACGTAACTCTGGGAGAGTTGAGCATCAGCTCCTGTCCCTGTCTTTCAACCAAATACCACCCGTTTCGCCACCCCCACGAGTCCAGCCATACCCATCCTCAAAACTATGCATGTATGGTACTTGAACAACCACACCGCTGAACTGGATACTCTTAAAATGCTAAACAACCCTCTCTTTACTCTCCCCGCAGGTGACGATCATCATCAAGGGCCACTCAGGGTGTGGATCAGAGCGCACCTACGAAGCATCGACCGAGGCACTACCTAGAGCCTTCGTGGACGGCACTACCTGGTCTGGCGGCTCTCCTGAAAGACCCTACATCGAGGTGCACGAGAAGATGCCAGGGGAACACACACTCATCACAGTCTCCTTCATTAATGCTACCGTCGCTGTCAGGAAGATCGGCAGGTGGGTCGGGAAGATCGGCAGGTGGGTCGGGAAGATCGGCAGGTGGGTCGGGAAGATCGGCAGGTGGGTCGGGAAGATCGGCAGGTGTGGTCATGATCAAAAAGATCGGCAAGTCGTGAACACTCCACACCAAATATTATCCTCCCGGTAGATTTCATCCTGTAGAAGTCTTCAAGAGGAAACTGGACAAATACCTCCCCAGTTGACTTTGAAGAGGCCATCGACAGCATACCCATGCATTCTACTCCAGGACTAGACTTCTGGAACTCTGTATTCATCAAAAATCGCAAGAACCATTATTTCCATCCTTTAGTATTTTATGGAGAAGAGACCCAGACAATCATTCCATAGTAATTGAAAACCATTGCATTAAAAAAGACCTTGTTAAGTGTAAGAGGTTCCCGATTCTTCATCTTCCTTCCTCCTTGCATCAAGTGAATTACTAACAACTCTTTGTTATGAACACAGGTGTGTCTTGGTTTGTACACCTAGCTGTAGCACGATAATCACTTACACAGCTATGTACAATGAAGCAAGCACAAGGCACGGTGACCAGACATGAAGGTAAGTCTGCCAAGGATGATTCACGAGTGTACCACATCACAACTTTGGCGGGCTTCCGTATGATTGGCTGGTTGAACCACGGTGCTGGTATAACGATGGGACCCGTACTTATTAAACTCTTAGCACCTGGTTTACTGGTCGGAGTCATGCTTATATAGGTGTATGACATATACCGAATAAAATGTAACATACTCTTAGTATGCCACACCCCCACCCCGAACGAAAGCTGATAGCCAGAACCAGGCATCCTCCATGGGTAGTGTGCCACAATGGAACGAAATACTAATGGAACTGCTTTTCCTCTCAACCATCCAACTCGTTAGGTAGTGTTCAACTCGGGAACTTTCAAGTCAGATAGAATCTTAGAGCGAGACAGCAGACTAGGACTAGCGTAGGTTCAAAACACTTGTGGATGGGAGCAAGTGTCCCTCACTAAAAAACCTTATGGCCAGATTTACTCAAATTTTACTTTATGACCATAAAGGGGGAAAATGAGCTTACTACCATTTTGTCCCTAAAACACCCTAGCAAATTATGTTCTGGAAGAGGGTGTCGGCCTGCTTATTATCCTTGCCGACTATGTGGCGTTATGGAGAGGTTGTACGCTTAAAATAAGTGTTCTCGTCTTCATGGAGCTAAGATACGTCAGGCTTGTGGCCACTGGAGTTACCTGGAGTTTACCTGAAGAGAGTTCCGGGGGTCAACGCCCCCGCGGCCCGGTCTGTGACCAGGCCTCCTGGTGGATCAGAGCCTGATCAACCAGGCTGTTACTGCTGGCTGCACGCAAACCAACGTACGAGCCACATCCCGGCCGATCAGGAACCGACTTTAGGTGCTTGTCCAGTGCCAGCTTGAAGACTGCCAGGGGTCTGTTGGTAATCCCCCTTATGTATGCTGGGAGGCAGTTGAACAGTCTCGGACCCCTGACACTTATTGTATGGTCTCTTAACGTGCTAGTGACACCCCTGCTTTTCATTGGGGGGATGTTGCATTGTCTGCCAAGTCTTTTGCTTTCGTAGTGAGTGATTTTCGTGTGCAAGTTCGGTACTAGTCCCTCTAGGATTTTCCAGGTGTATATAATCATGTATCTCTCCTGCCTGCGTTCCAGGGAATACAGGTTCAGGAACCTCAAGCGCTCCCAGTAATTGAGGTGTTTGATCTCCGTTATGCGCGCCGTGAAGGTTCTCTGTACATTTTCTAGGTCAGCAATTTCACCTGCCTTGAAAGGTGCTGTTAGTGTGCAGCAATATTCCAGCCTAGATAAAACAAGTGACCTGAAGAGTGTCATCATGGGCTTGGCATCCCTCGTTTTGAAGGTTCTCATTATCCATCCTGTCATTTTTCTAGCAGATGCGATCGATACAATGTTATGGTCCTTGAAGGTGAGATCCTCCAACATGATCACTCCCAGGTCTTTGACGTTGGTGTTTCGCTCTATTTTGTGGCCAGAATTTGTTTTGTACTCTGATGAAGATTTAATTTCCTCGTATTTACCATATCTGAGTAATTGAAATTTCTCATCGTTGAACTTCATATTGTTTTCTGCAGCCCACTGAAAGATTTGGTTGATGTCTGCCTGGAGCCTTGCAGTGTCTGCAATGGAAGACACTGTCATGCAGATTCGGGTGTCATCTGCAAAGGAAGACACAGACATCCTTGTCTGTGTCAGATATGAGGATGAGGAACAAGATGGGAGCGAGTACTGTGCCTTGTGGAACAGAGCTTTTCACCGTGCCTGCCTCGGACTTTACTCTGTTGACTACTACTCTCTGTGTTCTGTTAGTGAGGAAATTATAGATCCATCGACCGACTTTTCCTGTTATTCCTTTAGCACGCATTTTGTGCGCTATTATGCCATGGTCACACTTGTCGAAGGCTTTTGCAAAGTCTGTATATATTACATCTGCATTCTTTTTGTCTTCTAGTGCATCTAGGACCTTGTCGTAGTGATCCAATAGTTGAGACAGACAGGAGCGACCTGTTCTAAACCCATGTTGCCCTGGGTTGTGTAACTGATGGGTTTCTAGATGGGTGGTGATCTTGCTTCTTAGGACTCTTTCAAAGATTTTTATGATATGGGATGTTAGTGGTATCGGTCTGTAGTTCTTTGCTGTTGCTTTACTGCCCCCTTTGTGGAGTGGGGCTATGTCTGTTGTTTTTAGTAACTGTGGGACGACCCCCGTGTCCATGCTCCCTCTCCATAGGATGGTAAAGGCTCGTGATAGGGGCTTCTTGCAGTTCTTGATGAACACGGAGTTCCATGAGTCTGGCCCTGGGGCAGAGTGCATGGGCATGTCATTTATCGCCTGTTCGAAGTCATTTGGCGTCAGGATAAATCAGATAAGCTTGTGTTAACCAAATTCTGTGGCTCTCTCATAAAAAATTCATTTTGATCTTCGACTCTCAGTCTGGTTAGTGGCTTGCTAAAAACTGAGTCATATTGGGACTTGAGTAGCTCACTCATTTCCTTGCTGTCATCTGTGTAGGACCCATCTTGTTTAAGTAAGGGCCCAATACTGGACGTTGTTCTCGACTTTGATTTGGCATAGGAGAAGAAATACTTTGGGTTTCTTTTGATTTCATTTATGGCTTTTAGTTCTTCCCGCGATTCCTGACTCCTATAAGATTCCTTTAGCTTAAGTTCGATGTTTGCTATTTCTCTGACCAGTGTCTCCCTACGCATTTCAGATAGATTGACCTCTTTTAGCCGCTCTGTTATTCTTTTCCATCGCCTGTAAAGAGAGCGCCTGTCTCTATTTTACATCTACTCCTCCGTTTTCTTAGAGGAATAAGTCTTGTGCATACATCGAGTGCCACCAAGTTAAGATAAGATAAGATAAGATTTCGTTCGGATTTTTAACCCCGGAGGGTTAGCCACCCAGGATAACCCAAGAAAGTCAGTGCGTCATCCAGGACTGTCTAACTTATTTCCATTGGGGTCCTTAATCTTGTCCCCCAGGATGCGACCCACACCAGTCGACTAACACCCAGGTACCTATTTGCTGCTAGGTGAACAGGACAATAGGTGTAAGGAAACGTGTCGGAATTTCCACCCGCCGGGAATCGAACCCGGGCCCTCCGTGTGTGAAGCGGGAGCTTTAGCCACCAGACCACAGGGGTCTGTGTTGCTTAGTATATCTTCCCAGCTTATATCGGTTAGGACTTGGTTTACTTGGTCCCACTTTATGTTTTTGTTATTGAAGTTGAATTTGGTGAATGCTCCCTCGTGACTAATCTCATTTTGTCGGTCTGGGGCTCTGCGCATACATGTCTGAACCTCAATTATGTTGTGATCTGAGTATATTGTTTTTGATATGGTGACATTTCTTATCAGATCATCATTGTTAGTGAAGATGAGGTCTAGTGTATTCTCCATTCTAGTAGGCTCTATTATTTGCTGGTTTAAATTGAATTTTGTGCAGAGATTTAAAAGCTCGTGTGAGTGTGAGTTTTCATCAGAGCTGCCTCCTGGTGTTACTACTGCAACAATATTATTTGCTATATTCCTCCATTTTAGGTGCCTTAAGTTGAAATCCCCCAGGAGCAAGATGTTGGGTGCAGGAGTTGGAAGATTTTCCAGACAGTGGTCAATTTTTAACAGCTGTTCCTGAAATTGCTGGGAAGTTGCATCCGGAGGCTTGTCGACCTTTACTGCTAAAACTTCCACTACATCATTTGAGGCATTAAGCAGTTCTGTGCAAACAAGTGACTCTGCAATGTACAGGCCAACCCCTCCCTCCCTTTTGCCTGTTCACTCTGTCACATCTGTATAGGTTGTAACCTGGGATCCATATTTCGTTGTCTAAGTGATCCTTTATGTGGGTCTCAGTGAAAGCCGCAAACATTGCCTTTGCCTCTGCAAGCAGTCCACGGATGAAAGGTATTTTGTTGTTTGTTGCTGGCTTTAGACCCTGTATATTTGCAAAGAAGAATGTCATCGGACTGGTGGTATTGTTGGTACTGGGGGGGGGATTTTTTTCCGGCATTAGTATCTGTATCTGTTGGTTTGGAGTGGAGGCCATCGACTGTGGTTCCACTCCAGGAATGACTGGATTTGGTGTACAATTTCTGCCATTTCCTGCCAGTTTTTTTCCTTCCTGGCACTAAAAAACCTCTCCCTCTTGAGTGGCTGTGGCTACCCAGGTTTTCCCATGGCCTGGATGTTTTGTATCTTTTTGTCCCCTTTAGATGGTGTGCCTGGCAATTTAAGTTATAGCACAGTCTTTCCTGTACTGAAGAAGTACACATTTCAGGGTGAAAAAGCTTACAGGAAGGGAGTTTGCATTTTCCTGTTGTCATATGGGCACGGCATTTTCTAGGGTGGTCATAGTTGCACGTCCCATCTGTTTTTCCAGATTTCCCATGTCTGCAGATACCAAGTGCATAGTATGTGCACAGGCTTGGTTTCCATTTGCCTTGGGTTTCTGTGACTGTATTCCCTGTTGGTGCATGTTTACCTGTCTTATTCCTATCTTCCCTAGCACCAACAATGGAGCTCCCACCAGTTGTTTTTTTTAATATATCCTCACTGTTGCTAGTGGAGTCCTCTTGTTTGTTATTTCCTGTTGTATTTCTTGTTTGCAATATTGGTTTTATCTTATCTTTGACTACACTTGTTTCCCCACTACAGCTCCTGTCCCCTATGAGGTCATTTATATGCATTCCTTCCTGCGTATAATTCCCGACTACCTGGACAAAATCTCCAGCTTCACCATTACTGTCTCCCAGGACAGCACCTCCAGCTTCACCATTACTGTCTCCCAGGACAGCATCTCCAGCTTCACCATTACTGTCTCCCAGGACAGCACCTCCAGCTTCACCATTTCTGTCTCCCAGGACAGCACCTCCAGCTTCACCATTACTGTCTCCCAGGACAGCACCTCCAGCTTCACCATTACTGTCTCCCAGGACAGCACCTCCAGCTTCACCATTACTGTCTCCCAGGACAGCACTATCAGCCCCACATTTACTGACTACCAGAACATCACCTCCAGCCTTACAGTTTCTGACTACATGGCCAGTATCAAGGGCAGTACCATTCAGCCCAGACTTTTTATGTTCCCATCTGTTGTAGAAAGCTTCCAGGTTGTCTATGAAAGCAGCTTTGATGTTATCCTATTTTAATACCCTTGTGATTTTAGTCCACAGATTTATCTCCTTTGGGCATACCCAAAAACACTTCCCTGTTTTAATACTGCTTGTAGCTAGTTCTTGGATACCTGCACAAGGGGCATGACACCAATTTCCACAAAAAAGACAATTTATCCATGTGGAAGCCCGTTTGTTTGATTTATTGCAGACTACACACAGCTTCATAATGATTTGAATGGTTGATTTACTGTAATTCTACTAGCAACCTCTTGAATACTCTATTAATAACCTCTTTAAGTAAAGCTCTAGCTATCTGTATTTCTATTTCTAACTGTACTTTTATATCAGGACAGCTTACCGGAGTACGCTCCTGGAGTTTGTTTTATATTTATTGTTTGTGTTTATAAGGGCGCCTACAACCCCATCCGTTTACAGTCTGCTTTATTGTCCAACGAATCCATTTGAAACCGGCCAAGGGTTCGACCAGTCGAGGGTTCGATCCAGTCGAGGGTTCGGAGCCAGTCTGATCTGATCAGTGGGTCACTTATTTAAAACATACTGGTCGGTGATTTGGGCTAACACATGAAGGATCTACTGGAAAATTCTACCCGAGTAATATGTTATTTGATTGATACAAAAGTATAACTTGCGTGTTGAAGAAACCGGTGACTGCTGGCAACTCCTACAGTGACGAACGGTCGAGCCTCAACCCTTGTTTATCAATCGCTGTATCTAGCTTTTCTAGTTTTTCTTTTTGGCCTCCACCACAATAAATGCTATATTATCACTATAGTTGACTGGTGGAAATTTTGGAGGAGGGACGCTTTTTCTGTAGTAATAATTGCTTCTCGTTGTGTATATTGCGACCGTTGGTAACTACAGGTTATATGAAATTCGCAGTAACGTCTGGTATTTCAAGAAAAAGAAACTAATGAAAGTCACTCCACTCCACTAAGTACCATTATAATACTGGTTAGTTGCTACTACAGCACTGTATTCTGCTATTCACTGGTATCACTAGATTATATGCGAGTACACTAGCAGGCCAGGAAGATTATTAAAAACAGCTGACCACTGTGGTAAGTTTCTGGCGACTTCTGGCACCTGCCTCTATAGGCTTATCACTTCATTTACAAATTCACCTGTTTTCAAATGATACTTTAGCCTTTATCATCTATATACTAGGGAGCCACTGTAGTATACACTATAACACTATGTATACACAATGCTATCAGGGAGACTTTCTTTCCTCTGACAAGAAAAGTTCAATTATTATTATTTTTTCACACGGCACCCAGGCCTATGATTCCCCTCTGGTAGTAAACTCTGCTAGGTAGTGCACACTAATTCTCCTTTTTTGACTCAGTATATAATGTTTTCCGCCCAAGATTGGTTCCAGGCGCTAGAGGGATGTATCGTATAGGATTGATGACACAAATTAAAGTTCTAGCACGTAAGAGCGACCGTGAAAACACGAGAAAACCCGGAGCACAACGAGGCACGCTGACACACACACACACGCACCACTGAAGATAGATACCACATGTGATGAGCAGGTCAAGAACACATCAAAATGTTCCAGCATAAATACCAGGGCCAAGACTACACCTGGGTTCATAATACCCTTTAACTGTCTTCAAGAGAGGACTGGACAGATTCCTTAAAACATTTCCTGACCAGCCAGGCTGCGGTTCATACATTGGACTGCATGCGGTCATCATTAACAGCCTGGTTGATTAAGCCTTGAGCCACTGGGAGGCCTGGTCATGGACCAGGTCATGGGGGACATTGATTCTCAGAAACACACTTCGGGTATCCTTCAAGTAAGTGCCACATCAACCAGGCTGTGATAGATATGTGAACCAGTGGACATCAGCAACAACAGCCTGGTTAACCAGACAAGCCTGGCTCAGGGCCGGACCGCAGTAGGAAAACTCTCGAAACTCATCCAAGGTATATCATCAAAGGTCAGGAAAATAGGCAGGCAGTCTAGAAGGTGGGGCCAGGAGCTGAGTCTCGACCCCTTCACAAACACAGGACAGTGGTAAAATATATAGTTGATAGGCTTCACATGTATACAAGTAACACTTCCTCCTCAGGTATGTGATTGTTTAAGTGACACTGCTCCTCCTCAGGTACCAGACTAGGTAACACTGGTCCTCCTCAGGTACCAGACTAGGTAACATTGCTCCTTAGTAGGTACCAGACTAAGTAATACGTATTAGTCTTTCACAGGTACAGGACTATCCAAATAACATTGCTTCTTTACAGGTACCTGACTGTGCAAGTAACACTGCCAGAGAAGTTATTGCGTGAGCTGGAAGGTGACGATGAGTTACAGTTGTGTCTACAGGGCTGTCCTCCTCATGAACTGCTAGACAGGGCCGGCGCTGCATCCGCCGTAGCCATGAGCAAAAAGAAGGTATAAAGCTTCTCTACCTAGTGCTATTTTTTGTATGCGCAATTGAAAAAGTCTATCCATAATTTGACAGCATGTAAAAAGCCATCACAGTAATAATAATAATAATAATAATAATAATAATAATAATTTTATTTACTACAAGTACATGTACAAGGTATACAGGCCTAGCTGACATCAATGACATACTATTGCTATATAGAAAGCCACATGTTATGCAGAGCATTTCTGGCAAATTAGGCCAGTTTTGTCCCAGGATGTGATCCACACCAGTCGAATAACACGCAGGTACCCACTTTACTGATGGGTGAACATAGACAAGCGGTGTAAGGAAACACATCCAATGATCCTACCCTCGCTGGGAATTGAACCCAGACCCTTGCCATGTGAAGCGATAGCTTTAGCCACCAGGCCACAGGGCACCATAATTCCTGTTTAATTTTGGATGACATATTCAGTCACATTTACAAGTAACTACACTATTATATAAGAGCTGAAATGCAATGCCATTAAATTGATGTATAAAACACACACACACACATACAGGCCTAGTGTCTAATCGACATGTGCCTAGGACAAAATGGTAACTAAAATACACACACACACACACACACACCACTTGGGTATTTCTATTGTCGAAACATATTACCTGCAAAATAGACTTCTTCAGTCGAATACCAGCAATTATATCACAGGAGATAGTAGAAGTAGGTTTGGGGTAGTCATTTTTCCAGGCCTGGAGGGATTGACCACTTCCTACCATGGCTGAGGGACTGATCACCTTAAAATTACCTTTTCTACTGTCTCCAGTATTATGTTCACTTGTATTTTCTGGCATATAAGGCGCACAGGAATATAAGACGTATTAGACGATGTTTCCAAGCAGTTGTAAGGTGACATTAGTAAACAAAGCCTACCTTTGACCCTGACCTTGAGCATACAAGGCACAGCATGATTTTCCAAGACTTTTTGTAGAGAAAAAGCATGCCTTATATGCTGGAAAATATGGTAACAAATGCCAGTTATACAAGCAATGTGTTTTGGCAGTAAATATACCCAGATATTGCATGTTTGTCTTATTCATCACGGTACACTTTATTTTCTCAAATAAATTGTGAACACAGATCAGTGAAAGGTGAACATCCACTTGGATCAATAAAATGAAACACAAGTCAGAGGTCCTCTTCAGCAGATGATCTCCTAAAGTTGGACATACATACAGTGTTTGGGGGAAATGAGAGGTTATCAGGTTTGACTTAAGGAAGGGAAAGGTAGCTCTTGTTCCTTTGACCAAGAGTCATTCACTACTGTCAATACATTTTGCTTAAGGGAAAAAGTTCAGAATTCCCAGAAATTGGACCAACAAAATGAAACGCAGTAAATAAGAGATATATATATTTTGGTCGCGGTCAAGAGACCCTCTTCAGAAAAGGATGATGGTCTCTGGCTGTAGCGAAAATATGCAAGCACAGGTGTCTTCTTTTTTTACCACTGTTTCATTTTTTTATTTTCTGCTTAAACCTAGAAATTGGACTATTGTTGTATTCATAAGAAACCATTAAATCCATAGGAGACATACAACACCTGGGAAATGGGAGGTAATCAGGTTGATTCAAGTAAGGGAAGGGTAGTTCCAATTTCTTGAATCAAGAGTCCTTTACCAGCATTTAGGCACCCCCTTGCAGGGCCAACCCTAATAAATGCTCAGTAATACACATTACTTACAGCACAAAGTGTATGTGCCTAGTGTTTTATTTTTTTTACCAAAATTTTGGATTTTGAAACACATTTAATTAATAAAACTACAGTATTCTGTCCCTTGCCTTATATGTATGTATGTAGACATGTATGATTGTCATATTCATGAGGAAGTGTTAAACCTAATGGGGAATGGGAGGTTATAATCAGGTTTGATTAAAGAAGAAAATTTCAGTTCCTTGAATCAAAAACCAACACCAGATACCCCTACACTCTTAACACATACAACAATAGAAATATTAAACATTTTGAAATTTCTCTCGCATATAATCACTTTTTAAAATGTCTGACAGTGTACCTGAACATCTCTTTGCAGGCTACAAAGTTGTGTAAGGAATACAATATCACTGATTATTACCTGGATTCCTGCATCTTCGACCTTGTCACGACAGGCGATCAGAGTTTCCGAATTGCAGCTCAGGCTGCCCAGAAGGATCTCTGGGAGCACGACCCTGTTGGGGCACAAAGACTTCTTCTCAACTGTTCACAGCCACCCTGTGTATGGAACATCAACTCTTCTCAACAATCATACCAGTGTAGTTCTATAATGATGCTGGCTCTTGTATTATTGGTCATAAATGTATGGGTTGAGCGGTAGCCAGCATCTTGGACAGTATCATCCGTTCAAGGGTGTTAGGGGAAAAGGAGAGCTAATGTCACTGTTTACTGCAAGGCAGAGTAATATGTATTATGCTAATGAGCAGTGACTGGAGAGCCTCAGAGATATAATGTACTGTATTTATCTAAAAAAAAAGTTGATGAAAGGTTTTAATCAGTCATAAAATTTGTATACAAAAGTGGTGTTGTGGCTAGAAGATTAAAAATAAAATATGCACTCAAGATGTAGGTGTGTTCCATTAATTACTGTATTCAGAAGCTGAACGTAATAGTCACAGTCGTGTGAATATGAAAGCTGTTCTAGTTATCAGTGTATGTAATGCTAGTGTCAAAACATATACTACTACCTTCCATCTTAAAGTGTTAAACTGTACATGCATAGATGAGATGTAGCTGTAGTCATTATTTATTCAAATTTCTTCACTAACAATCCTGTATGTAGTGAAAGGGATTTCTACTGTATTTATTTTTCCTTGTGTCTGTCTGTTGATTTTAATTTTGTGCAGAGAATAATTGACTGGAAAACTTTGTTGTAAAATTTTTAACAATATTAAATTACATCTGTATTACATATTCTTAGCTTTGTTAATGAATTTATTTTGTCTCTTTTTCTTTGTTTACATTGTAATACAGATATTTTATAGTGACATAAACATTGTACTAATCTAATTTTACTAAATTTTGTGCATAGATTTCTCAAAAATTGAGAATTGAATGATGAGTAATTAATACTGCAGTGCTAAGACTGCCATGTATGAAGCATACCTCAATACTGTCATTGTGTAGTAGAGTCCTACTACTATTGTAGTATACTCTTGTAGTATCTTCATTTGGCCTCACTTTTGCAACTGTTCCTGTTCAATGTGCCAAGATGATCAGCATTTCAAAGTTTTAAAACTAGCAACATTTTTCCTCGTTAGACAACGAGGCACAACTCATTGTTTATAGGCATAACTTATTTATTTTAGCCTTGGTCACTAGCTTGAACAGTTTCAAGAAATATGGTTAGTGCTATCACAATGACAGCTCATGTAGATATGTAGTTAATGGTAAATGTTATTTGCAACATTTGTCCTAAATTATTATAACTATAATCATGAGGTAGTGCTAATCCACAGGAAGGAGAGGTAATCAGATCTGATCTGAGAAAGGGAACAATAGTTCCATCTTGAAGGGACTTGCTCCAAGACCTTACACTTGTAATCCAGATGAACTAAATTACTGTACAATGACAGTTTTTGTGTATATTAATGTGCCATTGGAAATTTTTGGATTAGCTTGAAATCTTAACATGGTAAACATTCTATGTAAGAGACTAATGGGAGGGAGAGTGGGTGGACGGTACAGGTGATTGTCGTGGCTAGAGCTGAGATTGTTTTGTTGTCATCATAACAGTAACTGACAATTCTGTAACCAGTGTACTCTGATGTATGTCAGTTTCTCGAGGGTCGTGACAAATTAATTTTGTGTGTGATTTATAGGCCCCCCATATCTTGATAGGGAGTACAGTGAGCTTCTATGGGACGAAATTCATAAAGCATCTAGATATGAACATGTCATGTTAATGGGAGATTTTAACTTCAGACAAATTGATTGGAACAGTATGATAGGAAATCTTGAGTCTAGTGACTCTCATGATACGATTCAGGATTGCTTTTTAAAATAGTTTGTGACAGAACCAACTAGAGGAAACAATCTGCTAAGACTTGGTTCTTGCCAACAAGGAATCACTAATTAAAAATCTTGAGGTTAATGATGAGCTTGGGGAAAGCAAGCACAAATCACTTAGTTTCAATATATCATGGAATTACCCAATAACTGCAATCAAGTCTCTGCCCTAGACTTCCGCTTGGCCAATTTCATGGGACTGAGAAATTACATGGTGGACTAAATTGGAACGACCTGACTATGGGACAGGTAGGTGGTGTTGGTTGCCAATATGATGTTTTTCAGAGCATAGTTCTAGCTACCCAGACAACTTATGTTCCAAGTAGGGAAATTAGATCAGCAAAAAATGATCCCAAATGGATAAACAATAGATTAAAACATTTCATTGGTCAAAAGAGAGGCATATATAGATGTATCAAAAGAGGAGAGGGGCAATTAAGAAATCAATATATTCCATTAAAGAGGGGAATAAGAAGAACCAAAAGAGATTATGAGGCTAAAGTGGCAAGGGATTCGAAGACTAACCCGAAAGGTTTCAGGTATGTAGAAGTAAGATTAGGAACAAGACTGGCCTACTCTAATGTAACTCAGGTCAGATTACTGGACAGTGATAAGGAAATGTGTGAAATTTTTAACTCTTATTTCCTCTCAGTTTTTACGTAGGAAGATACTGGTGAAATTCCAGAAATTATAAATTATGTAGAGCAGGACAGTAATAAACTATTCACAATTAGGGTAACTAGTGACATGGTCCTCAGACCAATAGAGAAATTAAAACCAAACAAATCCCCAGGCCCTGATGAACTTTTGGCTAGTCTTTTCAACACATCACTACAAACTAGCATTGTGCCAGACAAGTGGAAAATGACAAATGTAATACCAATTTACAAAGCAGGAGACAGGTCTTTAGCTTCAAACTATAGACCAATAAGCCTTACCTCCATAGTGGGAAAATTTATGGAATCAATAATTGCCAAGGCAATTCGTAGCCATCTTGAAAGACATAAATTGATTAATGAATCTCGGTACGGTTTTACAAAGGGGCGGTCCTGCCTTACGAATTTACTAACTTTTTTCACCAAGGTATTTGAGGAGGTAGATCATGGTAATGAATATGATATTGTGTATATGGACTTCAGTAAGGATTTCGATAGAGTTCCACATCAGAGGCTATTGAGGAAAATTAAGGCACACGGAATAGGAGGAGAAATTTTTTCCTGGGTAGAGGCATGGTGGACAGATAGGCAGCAGAGAGTTTGCATCAGTGGGGAGAAATCAGAGTGGGGGCACATCACGAGTGGTGTTCCA